CCCAAGCTGGTTGCCAACTGCTGCACCTCTGCTCAGCACAAAAAGAGTTGCCAACTCTTGGTGGTGGTGGTGGGGGGGAATGAGCACTCCCTTTCAAAATAAGCCCCGCCCATTTCAGGGGGAGGAGAATGGGGGTATTTATACAAAGTCCATTTTTTTATTAGTTCTAAGTTTTGCTCCATACAACATTAAGTTACACATTAAAAATATTGAAATAATAAATGTGTGCATACTTATAGTATTAAAAAAGGTCATCCTCACTCTCTCCATCCTCCATGGTCTCTGTTGCCTCAGTGTGGTACATTCTTGTGTTGAACCATCGAAGCATATCCTGATGTGGGACAAAAAATTGGACCATAGGATGTGTCAGTGGGTGCACCAGAGAGTTCACGAATTTGGGTGTGTTTTCTTCATTGAACAGGAGCGGGGAAAGGAGGATTCTAAAATGCTACTGCTGTGCGTACACACTGATACCAGTCAATCACCGAAACCACTCCCACAACTATCATTAAACTATAACTTTGTGTTGAAGTCATCTATCACCAAAAAAGCCCAAATAAGCAACCTCTAAATAAAACAAGTCCAATAAGCCGCAACCTGTTACTCTCAAAACAGTAAAGTGACTTTTAAAAAAACAAGCCCAATCCCACTTATTACAACATATAGCAATATTACTATAACATTGCTCTACTGATGGCAGCCAGAGCTGCAGCTGCTCAGTCTCCTGACTGTGGCCTCTGGTGCTATGAGGCAGAACCGCCACATCAGTGTAACTGTTGAGTGTAGTGGGGTCTCCAGAGGGTTGGGATAACATAGCCCTTGTCTACACTCAGTCCATGATAGCCTGCCACCCGGTATTGCCTACCATGCTAGCCCCATGCACTATACTCACCCCTCCATCCAATCACACTGGAGAGGCACATGATCTGGATTGTCAGCACTGTAATATTTGACAATGTTGATATGTAAAGTGTCATCATTTAAGATAGAATTATTAGCCTGGGGAGATGAAGGGAAGCTATCTACGCCTATGAGAGCTGTCTTTAGGGAGGCTGGCTGGCTGAAGGGCAGTTCAGATTTAGAAGGTGCTCTTCACAACCAGAAGGACTCAGATTTTTTATTTATTTATTTTTAGTTTTGGAAAGTTTACATTTCACAGACCCTCAAACTGATCTTGAGACAAGAGCTGGATGAATACACCAGGCAAGCAGGCCATGTCCAGCCCACAGGCCTGGAATTTGACATTCATGGCTTACTGTAATATTTGGCAGACTCACATGTGTTTTCAGTGAAGTAGAGCCCTTTAAAGAAAAAATGAAGCAGAAGGCAGGAGTGTTGGAATCCAACATGAGTTTTGCCATAGCTGAACTGAAGGATAACTGAACTATATATTGCTTTATTCTGTACAATGTTTGTGAAAAACCTAATGTTTCTCAGATATTGATAATTACTGCTGGATTAATACTGCTAGAAGCATTTCTGAATATTCATTTGAATAACAACAAGTGAGTAAGGATCACAGGATCAGGTTCTGAAAGCTTCTCTAGTGGAAGTATAAACCAGATACCTTATTCAGGAAATTAATTACCCTTCCTCAGTAGTGTCACAACTACCCCCACAAGTCATTGCTGTTATCTTGTCTTGGAAGAGGCAGATGCCCACAGTGGGTCTACGTACTAGGAAGTAAAGTTCCTAACTGCCAGGTAACCTTCATCTTTTAGGAATTGTTTTCTAGTGCATTCTGCATATATAAATTATATTACTTGGGGGGTTTTGTGTCTCTAGGCAGCATTTTGTCCATCTAATAAAGTTTTCTAGTCATCCCCCTTAGAATCACAACATGTCTATTATTGCATTATATTTTCCTCCTCTCCCACTCCCCAGCTTTTTAAAGGAAATCCAGTTGTTAACTTGGAATCTCCATAAGAATTGTTTTATCTTCAAACCTATCTTAATAATAGTCTTACTCCAAGCCTTGTAAGAAAAGCTTATAATAATTGAAAGATATTATTAAATGATGATGGGGGTATGATACATAACATATATCAGAGAACATTTTCTGCTACTATATTGGAACATTTTGGTGACTATTTAATATTTTGAAAGCAATAAAATTAATTAAAACACAAATGTCCAGTACCATGTGGAAAAGGTACAAATGAATACACTGAGTCTAGTGGTGATCTCATTGTCATTGTGTAACTCCACGGATTTTAATGGAGTTACACTTTACTTGCACTGGTATAAGTGGGATCGATATTAGAGTCATTATATCATGCTAGTCAACAAGCCTGAGAAAATCCCTTAAGTCCCTCTAGATAAAGCCATTGTTTTTCTGGAGGTTTCATGTTTACAAATAAAGCTTTTATTTCAAAGCCAGCTATTGAAAAAATGTAAAAGGCAGCAACAAAGCAAGGGATTGGTGAAGCATTTTATTGGCATCAATCAGCAGACCATATAAAGGAGTCAGACCCAGTAAATCAGACCTAGAATAAGAAAAAAGTCAAACAACAAAAATATTCTCATCAAAACTATGATTTTGATGAACCCTCTGTATTGCAAAGCATTGCCCCAGTGTGACAACAGAAATCCGGAGTTACTGCATAGAGTAGGGTCTCAGGCTTATGGGCAGGCCAAAGTTGGAGCTAGTCCTTCAACCCTGCTCCCTACTTAGGTTTAAAAGTAAGCATGCCATAGGAGGCCCTTTCCACGCCTGAGGGTGGTGAGCAGCATTTCCAGTTCCCAGGCTACAATGCAGCAAAAATAGTTCGCCACTTCCAAAACTTAAGATAATGCTGAAATACAATGGCAGGTATCCCTTCTAACCTACACCCAGATGTATCAATATACAATTATTCCATTGATCTTAATGGGAATTGTGTGTATTCATTGCTCAGAGCAATGAGAATATACAGTAGTCCCCAAATTTTATGAACTGCACATTTATGAAGCTCCTTTTAATCTGCAATGCTTTGTGACTCCTCATTAAAACATCCAGGTCCTGACTCAGGAAAGCACTTAAGTAGGTACTTAAGTCCCAGCATATGCTTAAGTTCTGCCCTGAATAGGTTTGATTACATGAACTGGAGCCCAAGTGCTGTCAGATTGTAATTTGAATATTAGAATTTCCCTTATGCTTTCACTGCTTTAATATACTCTTGAACATCTTATTTGAATTAGTTGCACTTAATACATGAATTTACATAACTGGACTGAACATTGTCATATATGGATGTTATGTTACATCTCACATTTTACCAAGATTTCAGATTAACTCCTAGAAGTTTAGTTCATAAAACAGACTCTTGGGGACCCATCCTGCAAACCAATGTGAGTAATTTACTCATGCAAGTTGTGTCAGGAAAGTCTGCTCACCCTGTTGAAGTCTATGGCTAAGCATACCAGTAAGGGTTTGCAGGAGTGGAGCTTTATCTTAAAGCAAAATAATATGAAATAATCTACCCCAAACTGCTCAACTGAGAAGTGAGCTGTAGCTCACGAAAGCTTATGCTCAAATAAATTGGTGAGTCTCTAAGGTGCCACAAGTACTCCTTTTCTTTTTGCGAATACAGACTAACACGGCTGTTACTCTGAAAACATAACAGTGATATCAATGATGCCATAATTTAATACTGCATAGCAATAATAAAAATGATTAAAATAGTCAATTCAACGAATATGGGTAGGATGTACATAATATGCCCAGGTAACACCAGTTTTTAACCTCAACACAAAGTTGAAAAATGTAATTAACTAAACAAAAATGTAGTTACAATATTTTATCGCCTCTCTTTCTAATAGCTTTCCCCCGTAACATTCCAAGCACGGCCCATATTCTCATTCCTGAAGATAGAATAACACACAAAATAGATGCTCAGAAGTCATGTGATGATCATGCTATATGAACATAGATAGATGAGAGGAAAGGCAAATAAATAAATATGTGGGGTGGAAAAGTCAAGAACACTCCATGGAGCATACAAGGAAAGGGTGGAGAATACAGTCTTTCAATTTGCCAGTGTGCTAAATCATTTTGCTGTGTTCAGATACCATGGGTGCTGGGTGCATAATAGACAGGCAGATAGATACATTAAATAGACATACAGCTTCTGTTACATTTAACATAAACATGTTCTGTTGGAGAAGCAATTCTTTATCAGTTTTTGATAAAGTGCTATTATCATGCAATTGATTCCACCAGTGTCCCATGAAATCATTTTGGGTCCAAATCCTCCTGGCCTTATCCAGTACAGATAGTCCCATTGAAGTTACTGAGTAAGGCTAACAGGATTTTGCTCATTATGTCACTAAGATTTGCATTTGATGCCATGTTTTTACCTCAAAGTCTAGCCCACAGATGTCTAGAGTATTTGCTGGTAGGGTACCACTTGAAGTATCTTATTTCTTCTCAGACCATCGTACTTACTCACTCACTCATTTACCATTTCTAATACCATCAATTTACAAGGAGACAGGTCCTGAGGGGTGCTCTTCAGAATTACTATTCCCATTGATGGCACTATGAGATTCAAGCATTCAACCTTCGTGGGGTGGTCGTGGCAAAAGCAGGAGTGGTGAGCCTGGAGCATCCAGCACGTTGCCTGGTCATGGGCCAGCAAAATTGTTCTGAGGGATTGTGCTAACCACAGCAACTTAAAAAACACTTTAGCTATTCTGTGCTATACCAGGGGTTGTTTTGGCCCATGGTCTAGTGGAGGATTGGAGAAGTCATGAGTCTGGCACAATTTAGGATTAAATTAGTAGTTTTAGAATGCAATAATCAGCTATCAGAAATTTTATGTCATTCGGAACGAGACTGGGCTACTGATGCTGAACTGGGTAATGAGACATCAGAGTAACTGAAATGGGTCATACAGTCCTTCCTTTCTGGTGAAGGTGTGAAAACCCCTGGAGAAAACTGAAATTCTGCAGGCACTATTCTGAAAAAAATCAAAATGTCTAATTTTTCCATTCAACCAAGTTGTGTGGGTTCAGGTCACCTTCAGACAGCAGTACGTGATGATGGAGCAAGCTGACCTTCTCTCGCACAGACATGATTTCCTCCAGCAAATTAACCTTTTTCTCACCTACAGAGAAAATAACAAAAACAAAACAAACAAAAAAAACCCCATAAATCAACTGGTAAACCGGTTATTTTAGAAAAGAGTGAATTCTTCCAATATACCCTTACATCATTCATGTGGACAGAAAAACAATTACAAGAAAATCAGATTCCTTCTTTAATTGATTATGTTCGCAAGTCCTCTCTCAAGAAGAAAAGTTGCTCTGGAATCAGCCAATATTCTGACGTCTGGTAAAAGCAACAACATACCCACCCCCTGATTTTCCTTCCTCCAAGCTATCTTTATAATACATGGAAAATGAAAAGCTTTGCAATTGCTTCGACTCAAAATAAGACTTTCAGATATGGAGTTTTTAGGTTATCACAGTAAAAAGACCAGCTTAGATTTTGTAGGCGAAAAGCAAATACAACGCATTAATGTTTGTGCTGTTTAAAAAGAGCAATGTAGCTTCCTCAAAGGGGAAGAGAGAGAGACTATCCAGCACCATGCAATATGGCTCATCATGTCAAGAAACAAGTCCACAGAAATGTCAAAGAACATTTGAATATCCATTTCCCAAGTAGCCAGTCCTTCCCTGGGCTGGGAAGAGAAGCTAGGGGAAGGAAAAAAGAAAGCAACAGGTTACAATTAAAAAACATCTTGTAACCTCAGCGGTCAATCATGGCAGTGTTCCAATATTAATCGTAGAGGTTTAACACAAGCAGGGCTAGAGAACAGAGTCTATTGCATGCCTAAAATTGACTTGGAACCTGGCAGTACCTAACGGCTAAGTAAAGCAAAATGAAATGACAGACTTGACATGCCTGAAGCTGATGCAGCAACCCACTTGCTCAATTTAAAACACTAGATTAGTCCACAGTTTCAGTCTTTTACTCCTGGATCCTAATCCTAGGCTAATTCACGACACTCTTCTCCACTAGCTAGCTATTCATTTCCTGAAATGAAGCATGTTCCAACATCAGGCACCAAACCTCATAGAAAATACCTTCCAGTGACACTTGGGATCTTCTCACACGTACTCTGACATAAAAAGCTTTGAGGCTGAACATAACCAGAACTACTTTCACTTCTTTCTTATGGGGTTTCCTGCTTCTTTATGCAGACTCTAGCCTGTCATACCCCTACACAATGCAGTGCTAGAATTGCTTTCAGATTAATTGCACTGTTTCCAGCATGTATACCTTTGCAGTTCCACTCTGTGCCTCGTAGCAGGAGCTGCTGCATCTTGGTAACTGTCACATATTATTGTGGGGGGGTGGGGGGGGGTTGGCTGAAGTCAGACTCTTTTCTTATCATCTGAACTGATTTGAATGTAAAATAAAAGCTATATTCAAATGTATACCTAATTAAGAGCTGTTTCTTTGTAAAATGGTTCACATTCACAGACCTCTGTGCTTCAGATGTTGTGGAAATGTGTAGCTCTTGACTTCACACTTAACTACCCTAGTCATCAGGAAATTGGCTTGGTGAAACCCTTTTTCATGCTGATCTTTGGGCCAGGAATATGGAGAGTTGGCTTTGCATCACACCTATTTCTAAGCACTAAGAAATTCTGCTTGCAAAATTTTAAATAAAGAAAAAAATCATCAAATTCAATATTGCCGTTATTAAGGAGGAGGACTGCCACAGGGTGGGGCTAAACAATTAGTCATCAGACATGTCACAACTTGCTGGGCTGGTTACATGATCTGCATGGTCAACAACAGCTTAAAAAGGTCAACTTGTAGCTGTGGAAACTCAGTATTTGTTTTTCCAAATTATGTGATTTATTTTTCCACCCTGACCCAATGCTCCTTCTATCGCCATCCCACTCCATTGGCTCGGCTACCTCCCTGTTCTTTCAAAGCAGCTGGCTTCCTGGGGTGCAATGTCCCCTTCCTAATGTTTTGCTGGCTGCTCTCTGATCTTCTCCTCCATGTGAACTGCCTCTTATAGGCAGGTGGGGGAGCAGGTGGGCTATCAAAGGCATTAACATGAAGTCTCCACCGCTCTTCTGCTCCTAGTGGTCCAAACACAGAGCCTGATTCACCAGCCCATTATCCCAGTTCTCACTGCTGTAATGCCAGTGAATGCACTGATGACTCAAGCCAACTGTTGTTGGTAAGAAAAAAAACCACTTGTGCCTTTGCTAATTTAATGATGACTAGATTGCACATGTGCAGTGTCGAGATCTAAGGAGAACGCGTTAAGAATGAAGTTTGTCCATGATTGGCAAACAGCAACAAAGTAGCAAAAAAGGTGTCATTATTTAGTACTTATTGAAAGACAATAAACTGGGCATATCCTTTGCCATTTAGAAAGGAGTGCCAGAATTTCATTATACAGTTGTGGGAAAAGTCAGGTTTTGGTTCTGCTGAATTAGACTATCAGGCTGTTACTCCTCCTAAATCCTCTTTACACTTCTTCTAGATAGACTGGTAAAGCAATTATCTATGCACATCTCTTACTTGTTGTCCTTGCACTTGAGCAACCTGCAAGGTTTTAAGCTGTGGCCACTTTATCTCTTTGTTCCCCCCTTTTTATGGCTTTTTATAAAAGTCTGGAAGATAAATAATATTCTGCTCAAAATAAAAGCCAAACTGCAGAAGCCAGATCTCTCTACTGGCATTTGTAAAGCTGTTATATCTCTTGGGGGTTGTGATAGTCCCACACTGCAAGTCCGCACACTGCACACTTGACTCTGCTAACACTCTCATTGATCCTATGGCGCTTGATATTAAATGCTTCTCATTGATCCAATGGGATTTTGCCTGAGTCAGGAGTGCAGGAGTCTGTAAAGAAAGGTGTATTCAAAATGATCAGCACTCTTTTTTCTCCCTTCACTGTCAGCAGCCTTTTCTTCTTTAACTGCTAATCACTGGGACGTCTAAAATTCTGCTTAGTATCTTGATTGCATTGTCTCCCCATCTCACTTTGCGCTAGTTGCATACATAAAGCCATGGAAGGGTAAATTCAGAGTGGTGCCACATTCCTAGTGGCCCTAATATTTGACAACGTGCTGTCCCCCAAGATTTCCAGTGGTGACTCATAAATGTGGGGGCTTATTTTCCAAAATTGCAGTGCATGCACCTTTTGAAAATCAGCCCCCTTTAGTGTGTCTCACAGTGGACATCCAAACACTGAGGCCCCTAAAATCACTAGTCACCTTTGAAAATCTTGGTCATGAAGTTTATTTTATAAAATGTACAGGACTGTGCTGGAACAGATGCCAACTCAAACACTCCTCAGGGGCCGTTTGATTGTAAGCTCCTTGGGGCTGGGACCATCCTTGTGTTCTGTACAGCGCCTAGCACAAGAGGGGCCTGGTCCAGGTCTGAGTCTCCTTAGCACCACTTCAGTACAAATAATGAACAAAATAATAATAATAGAGTTGTCCTATCACAGTCCACAAGCTTATAGAGAAGCTTTCAGTCCCTTTGAGGCAACTATATACATACTTAAATCTGGAAATTTTTAATACTAGTCAAATTAATAATGCAGAAACAACCATATTTATTTCCTTCAGTTTATAATGACTAATTTTGATTTATTGGAAATGAAAATAACTTTACCCACTATAATCTGCTCAGTCTTTTCATAAAACTTACCCTTAGAGCTTGTTTTCATTTACTATTTAATCTTTTTTTCCAATTATAGCGTTCGTGCTATTGTTTAGAGGAACTTATACACAAGGATATATAGAGTGCCTCTCCAATTTTCTCTCAGCCTGTGCTTTGAATTGCCTGTTCTTATCTTCTAATTAAAATGACACATGGTGGTCTGGATTGGAAATCCTATTGAATTAAATGACACAAGGTGGTCTGGATTGAAATCGTACAAGAGTGCAGCCGAAACTGGAAATATTTTAACAGTGTCAAATTACTGATTTCAGATCACAGCATACTTTGGCTAAGCTGGCTGTTGAACTAATGACCAGAAGATACACAGTGAATAGCCACCAGTGAGAATGCTAATTCCTCCAGTGGAGAAAGTGTAAGTATATCATGTCACACTTTTAGCCTGTAGTTTGGCAAAGATCCTATATATTTTTTTAAAATATAAAGTCTTTCCAGTGAACAATTATGAAAGAAGTGAAAGGGAAAGTATGTTCTGTGCTAAAAAGCTTTAATGCACGCAATATTATAGAATCATAGGACTGGAAGGGACCTTGAGAGATCATCCTCGTCCAGTCCCTTGCACTCATGGCAGGACTAAGTGTTATCTAGACCATCCCTGAGTGGTGTTTATCTAATCAGCTCTTAAAAAACTCCAAAGATGGAGATTCTACAACTGCCCTAGGCAATTTATTCCAGTGCGTAACCACCCGGACAGATAGGAAGTTTTTCCTAATGTTCATCCTAAAGTTCCCTTACTGCAATTTAAGCCCATTGCTTCTTGTCCTATCCTCAGAGGTTAAGAACAATTTTTTTCCTCCTCTTTGTAGCAACCTTTTATGTACTTGGAAAGTGTTATGTCCCCTCTCAGTCTTCTCTTTTCCAGACTAAACAAACGCAATTTTTTCAATCTTCCCTCAGAGGTCATGTTTTCTAGACCTTTAATCATTTTTGTTGCTTGTCTCTGGACCTTCTCCAATTTGTCCATATCTTTCCGGAAATGTGGCACCCAGAACTGGACACAATACTCCAGTGGAGGCCTAATCAGCGCAGAGTAGAGCGGAAGAATTACTTCTTGTGTCTTGCTTACAACACTCCTGCTAATCCATCCCAGAATGCTGTTCACTTTTTTTGCAGCAATGTTACTCTGTTGACTCATATTTAGCTTGTGGTCCACTATGACCCCCAGATCCCTTTCCACAGTCCTCCTTCCTAGGCAGTCATTTCCCATTTTGTATGTGTGCAACTGATTGTTCCTTCCTAAGTGGAATACTTTGCATTTGTCCTTATTGAATCATAAATAAATTATACATAATAAATAAGAGCTTATCAAGTGAATAAAAGACACCATTCTGTTTGTGCACTTCTTGTGAGACACTGGAGGAAACAAGTTATTCCGTTCAAACTACA